ATATAAGAGTTGAAAGAAAGAAAAAGATGTAGAAAAAAAGTCAGGAAAAATGTCTCTTATTTTATTAACGTAAGTATTCATTCTAATAAATGTAAGATAATTAGAAAAATTGGAAACTTGTGATTCTATAATTATTTACAACATCTTCTCCAAATCATATTTGTTAGTTAAAGAAAACTAATCAATTTATACGTACCCTTATTACGATATCTAACAATAATACACAAACATAAAAAATGTCATCCCTATTTCGTAACAATTCTAAGGTTCACTTGAATATTACACACTATTATTTTTATTGCAGCCAGCAACTATGAAACTCATTAACCACTGTCATGAATTTTTCTGATGATTGAACCAGGTTTGCAGACGACGTGATAGAAGCCTCGGACGGGAATATATATTTCAGTGTTGTTAGTACAAAATTTGATGTTCAATATTGGTACATGGATGTGTTAGAGGCAAGACCTCATGGACAACTTCTCAAGTACAATCCCACATCGAATGAGACTGTTATTTTGCTCGATGACGTTGCCTTTGCTAACGGCGTTGCACTCTCCAAGGACGAAGATTATGTTGTGGTCTGTGAAACTTGGAAGTAAGTCACTTTCTTCATGCATTTTTCCTCTCTTGGTCAATTGAGTTTCCTGCTAACAATGCTATATAATGTTATTTTTATCTCTTCAATTAGTAGTAAATTAAATTAATTAAAAAAGAATTCTCTCTAATGACACTTTTTATATTATCTTAAATGATTATTACTATATGATTATTTTAAAAGTCATACTAATTATGATTTTTACATTGATTTGTAGTTTTTTTTATTCTTTCATTTTTTTTACATTAATACATAAAATAAAACTCTAACTTTTACTTGGGATTTCAAATATCTTTCTGTCAGTTTAATTGGTGCACTTTCTATCATCTTTACAATTGTTATCTGATTTTAAGTTCGCGAATCAGATATAGGTGTCTGAGGCATTGGTTAAAAGGAGAAAAGAAAGGCACAACAGATATTTTAATTGATAACCTCCCTGGTGCACCTGATAACATCAATCTTGCTCCTGATGGATCTTTCTGGATAGCTTTGCTTCAGGTAATATTGCAATAAATTCTTGGCTATATAAAACAGTGAGAGATTATTGCATGACCACGTGTCCGTTAAACTAAAGAGAAAAGTAAACTAACTCCAGCAAGGACTATTTTATCCTTTTCAATTATTTTTTTAATGTGTGTATATATATAGAGAGAGAGAAAGAGAGAGTTTCACTTGCTGCATTACACATGCTAAAAGTACAATTGAAGATTGAAATTTGAAATCAACAGGATATGATATTGAATTGTTAATCTTCAATATTGATGCCACAGTTGACTACTGAAGGATTGGAGTTTGTGCACGAGTACAAGATAACCAAGCACATCGTTGCTTCATTTCCAAGGCTAATCAACTTTGTCAATGGTGCAAAGACGAAAGCAACGGTGGTGAATGTGGCAACTAATGGCACGATAGTGAGAAAGTTTGATGATGGTGATGGGAAGGTCATTACATTCGTGACTTCAGCTGTTGAGTTTGAGGACCACCTTTACCTAGGCAGTCTTAATACCAACTTTGTTGGGAAATTACCACTGTATAGTGCATAGAGTAGTGAAGTTCAGCTCTGATTGAAAAGTGGTTTGTCTCAGCTTGGAACAAGCAAAAGCATCTTCTTATGTGAGTGATTCAAGACCAAGCACATATAGGAGAATATTTACCCTATTATGCAAATTTGTTGTTCACCTTTTGTTAGTACCAGAACTAGTACTCAGTAAATAAAATAAAAGAAAACTTTAGTGGTCAGAAAATAAAAAAGATCATCAATTAGATAGCACCAGGGACGGATCAATGCAGGCCCCTGCCTCCCTTGAGAACCCTCACTCCCACTCTCACCAAGATAACCAAGCAGTTACATCAAGCAATATAAGCATTATAAGACCAAGCACATCTAAGAGAGTTAATATTGTCCCTATTGTGCAAATTTGTGGTTCATTGAGAAAATATGATATTTTTATTATTTAACAATAATAATCATATTACAACCCCTTTTTTTTTTGGTATCATAATGTTAAGTATCAGTCAAAACCTGGGGGGAAAATGACTTCTTTCGAAAAGAAAAAAAAAACAGACGTATAATTTTATGTTGTTTCACAAACAGGCATTAGAATGAAATTGATTCTTATAAATAAAAATTTAAAATGGCTAACTACATATACCAGCCTGCTTTGTTTTTCCCCCTGTTAACGAAGGAACGAAAAGATTCTAGAGAGCAAGTGACGTAGTTCTTATAAGACACAAATAAAATAGTCATAAAATTGCAATAAACGGACAACGAGTTATTTATCGCGTAAAATTAAAAAAAGTGGTAGAGTTGAGCACAACTGAATAAGATTTTGAAAAGCACTGTTTCCTTAAAAGCACATTAGCATTTAATTAACAGTTGCTGCTGCAGGACTGTTTCCTTAACGTTTATCGCTTAGATAAGGCTCTGCTCTGAACGCTCAAATGGGATTTTATTCTTATAAGGACGAAAATGATTCAAAAACAATGCCATTTGATTTACAAAAACCAAAGTTGGCACTTGATACAGTAACTAGAATCTGAACTCATTAATACAAGCTACAAGAGTAAATCTACTGTATCCTCATTTTCTTTTCGACTCTTGATGAATGCATTTTTGTGTCATTTAATGGGTCCCCTTTTGCTTTCCTACTATTTACGAATTCAGAGAAGGATGGTATTTGTGGCAACTTAGTACTAAACGAAGAACTTTCTATTGGCACAACACATGGGGAAGTTTCTGATCTAGCATTGCCCGAGTGTTCATTGCTGGTATCTCCTGCACAAGTATCTTCTAAAGCAGGCGGCGATGTGAGGGGCTGTTCAGCTTCAGACACGACATTCTTTGTGGTGGAAGCATTAATTGCACAAAGTCGGCTCATCAATTCGGTAGAACTTGCGGTTGTCAGCCATCTTACAGTACTTGCCACTTGGGAATAATAAAATGATTTGCCAGTCTTGCCATATTTCTTGTAGCATTCATCTTCAAGAAAAGATGCTGATGCTTCCATTTCAATCCTGAACAAATGTTTTAAATCAAGAAATAAGGAAATATAGTTGACATCCCCAACTATCATCATTGCTGCTTCTAATTGTTCAGGGGTAGGGAAGGTGTGCCAAACACAAGCACACATGCATGAAAAACAAAGGACTTGGAACCAGAGAGCTTCTGAGATATAATTTAAGGTGATATTTATCATCATCATATTACATTATGGAAAAAGTCTTAGTTTTGGTATTTAAATAATTAATCTACGGCACAATAATGATGTGATCTTTGAACAAGGTACTACTGCATGTCAGATAAGTTACACATGTTATAGCAAGAACATATTGAGCAACTGAGTGGGTTTTTTTTTTTTTTTTTTTTTTTTTTTTTTGTGGGGGAG